CCCTTCTTCGGGAACTATATGCATCTCTCCAACAGAGAAATGAAATCTTTGAGACAGCCTGATGATCCAAATAAGCAGCATTATTATATTTGTCTGCCAGGCTGATCACAGGACATTTGCAATTTATGACAGATATCCCAAATAGAAAAATAAACATGAAATATCATTTATTACAGGCACATCTATATCAATAAGGGGAAAAAAGAATGCAGACAATAATATGAATATTTGAGGCAAAAACTATTCCTGATATATTCAAACATTTGAATCAAACACTATCTTGCACTAAAAAGTTACTAATTTAATTCTTGTGATAGATCCCTGAGCGACTGGGTTGATATATCTTTTTACACCACTGAAAAAGCCTTTGGTAGGAAAATTCGTGGTGAAAACAAGATTGTAAGACCACTATTTAAGCTAGCCAAGAAAACAACCATTAAAAAATGCTCATGGCACTTTAGAAGCATTTGAAGGCAATGATTCTCATATAATCCTTGATATACACTGGATAGAACACAGGGACTGATTCCTTAGCTAATTATATTTTTCGGTTAAGGCCTGCACACAGGTATTGAATTTCATAAAGTCAATGAAGAGGGAGCTGAAAAGACACATGAATCAACTGCCAAGTCACTGACAAATGAAGGCCTATCTGAATTAGACCAGGTAATTTTGGAACAATAGAAAATTGACAAGGACAATCCCAGGACAGGTGCTTCAGTGAAGATGATTTAAATAGCAAAAATTAAGAGAAGCCCTGGGAGAAAGCATTCTTTATAATCTTTCTGAGAAAATCAAACACAAAGGCTATCATGTACTTGCATCAGAAAAAATCACGCCCTCCAAAAAGCCACACTTGATTCGTTCTGAATAGTTATAAGAATTAACCTACACTTGTAATTATGACCTATATTTATAATATACAAGGTAAGTTTCTTCTCATAATTTTCACTTTCAAATCCCAATCAACTCTGTTTTCACATGAGGTTTTGAAGCCAATTTTAAGGGAACTAACTTTAAGGATTTTTTTCAGGTCCCCAGATGAAGAGGGTAATAGTCAGGGTTCTCTCTTCTGTCTTCCCTCTTCTCTCTCTCTCTCTCTCTGTCTCCCCCCCCCCCCCATCCCTCTCTCATCCCCTCCTTTGGTTTGGCTTCTAAATCCAGAGGATGTGACTCTGATCTCCTTCTCCCTGTTTCCAGGAATATCTAAACATACGTCAACTTTATTTTTAGAGTAGTCCATGAAAGCAGCAACTCTCACCTTTTTTCCAGAGAAGCACATAAGACGACCATCTTTTAAGATATTCTCCCATGAGCAAACCAAGTTGGTGTGCAATCTCTACCACTAGATGTAATTTCTTCCCTTTCCCTCTGACTCCAAAGACCAAACCAGAATGTAAAAAAAGTGCAATTACTGTGGAGTCTTCAGTCTTCCAGAACGTTCCTTTAATTTTCTAACTTCATGATTATCTGTAAAAGATCTTTTCTTCATGACATCTATTAAAAGCCAGTCACTGCCCTGTATGAGGTCACTTCATGCTCTTGAAGTTACAAATTAAAATGTAACCGATGTGATTCTGCAATCTGTATTTGGGGTAAAAATGGGAGTTCATAACCCACTTGAATCTAATGTATGAAATATGATATGTCGAGAGCTTTGTAATGTTTTGAACAACCAATAAAAATAAAAAAACTATCTTCAACCATTCTGTTGTTTGACTTTGAATGGGTGACATTTGACAGGAAACCATGTGCCATATGTATTTGAGAATCATTCCAAGGGAAAGTTCAGAAAAATAAGAAGGGAAATTCTAGGAAAGCCTTCCTTGAAAGGAAACCTCATTTTGCACATGCTCCACATCCAAGGGGCAAAAGAGCCCTATGCACTGGTTCCTTTTCCTCAGAAGAGGCAGAAAGCCAGACCAGCAACTTCTGTTCTGACGCTGGACAAGTATCACCAGGGCCACATTAGCAGTGACCTTGTAAGGGGAGATAAGCCTGGTGCTGATTTCTCACTGAGCTAACAAAAGACAAGAAGAGAACTCACGTTTCCAGGAATGTGCACTTTTGAATCATTATTTTTTCTTCTGCAAATTGCTTGAGACTTCAGAGGCATCCGAACACTTTTTCCCTCTCCCAGAGTTCGCAATTTGTTTTCATTATTTATCAGTCCAGCATCTCAACTCAACTGAGGCACAATGGCAAAAGATGCAGAAAGGATAATTAATGTTTTCTACGTGGACTTCCTCATCTTGGGTAGATTTATGAATTTCATTTCCATTATGCAGAAGTTAGGATTTTTAACCATGAGGGAGGAAGAAAACCCTTAATTGTTTTTTTATTGCCTCAAGAGCTCCAAAGACATCTTGTGCTATGTCGTCATTTACATTTCACACTAAATTCAAAATACGTTTGAAATGAGCAAATATTAGTTTTGATTTGACCCATCTGTGTTAAATGAAATACTAAAAAAGACAGCTAAATCACTATATTAAACTCAGTGATTTGTAAACAATTTGTATGTTCATTTGTTCTGGGTTAAAAATGCCCCAAAGCACAAGTTTTATGAAACCCACAAAGTAAATTGCATTGTATTAATCTGATGGAAGCGGGCCATGATTTCTTCCTCTTCACTCCATTAATTTATTTCCTAACTTGAGTTAATTAGTGAGGTCCCTATTTTTAAAAGCTCTTTGAAATTCATTGGGAGAAGGGGACATTTTCAAAAACTACTTTGAAAACTTACTGCTGAGGAAATGAGCTAAATATAAAAGATAAAATTCCCCCAAGATATTATCATTCATGGAGCACCTGACTGCCCTTCAACAATCTTGATGCTGGCCACACAGAGGGTGATTAATATACAGTTGTCATAAGAGAGAGGGAAAGAGGTAGAAGTAAAGAAGAAGAGCACCCTGAGATCAAACTCTTTCCTGGCCATTACTAACCAGAGAGGATGATCCCCATGGATCTATCCATCTCCAAATGAAAGTCTGTGACATTCTGGTTTTATACTAGCCAGTGAAGACTGACTTTAACTTGGAACACCCACTGAGGAAAGAACTCACTGACATCTATTCAAAGAAACAAAAAAATAAATAAAGATTGGCCAAATAGAGAACAAAGGTAAATCAATTATTTTTTTCCCTCTTTGGTCAAAGTAGCCAGGATTCCTAAGTTAGACTGGGAGGGGGAAAAAAAAAAAGAAAATTCATTCACATTAATGTATAAATTATAGCCAACAGCTTAAGATATGCTTAAGAGGATATGGAGAAAGAGAGGACTGGCCTTTTAACAAATGTTCAAATTTTAAGCAAGTGTGATGTCCATTCCTTCATGTTTTGGACAGCAGCCAGTGGGCAACAAAGATGGAGCAGGGTCGAGTGTCCTTCCCACATCCCCACACGATCTTACCTGCCATGACTCCCTACTCCAGCTTCCGGTGAGACTGGCCAGAGGAAGAGCAACTCCAGCATGCTACCCTAGGTAGCACCTTTGTTGTTGAAGCCTTAGTTCATTTTCCCTCTGCCAAGTGCCTGTGAAAGTCATGGCCAGACACTCATTTTCCTGCCCCAAGATGTATAGGGAGGAGAATTTTGGTGCTATACAAGAAGATTTTGATCTGTCTTCTGTAAGCCACACATTCCTCCTCTATAAAATGGAAACAGAAATCACCCAGCACAGCCCCTGAGGTAGAGTTGGCATCCAAAAACTGCAGGCCTCCCCCCTCTCATTTTGCACACTTAGATTAAAATCAAATCAGCCGTTCACCGATACACCAGAAGCCAGGAGCTGGGCTGACACAAAACCTACCTGCCATCCAATATTCTGCCCTGTCTAACCCCTGATCCTGGAACCAGTCACTCAAGTTTCCCACACCAAAACAAACAGCACCATGATTTATCCCCTCTCCCGCCACCACATTGCAAAGTGGAAAAGTGAGAAGGAAGAAACATTTGCAGTATCAACTCCCTCTTGACTCAACACACACCCAAAGCTCTTTTTCTTGTTTTTTCTTTAAAAAAAAAATTTTTTTTAAACCCTTCACTCACACACTTCACATGTCCTGGGTTAAAAACTCAGTCTCCCAAGTTTAGCAATGAAGTCCCTTTTCTGAAGACTTTAGGGCCTCACAGACCACGGGCTCCTTTGAAATACCCCCATTAAACCCAGAGAAGCCCTCAGTATTTTAAATCCTGTATCACAACAAAGTTGGGGAAAACAAACAGCTTTCTCTGCATGGGAATTGGGTACTTTGGGAAATCAGTGAAGTCCCAGAAATCTGCAAAGCTGCAATTTCTAAATCAGACAAGAGGCCATGCAGTCTTGCTCTGTTTTTTGGCTCTGGTAAGAAATGATGCACTGCCTCAGAAACCCAGGCTCCTGGGCAGGGCATGTCTGAGAACTCCAGTTTTTGTTTTGTTTTGTTTTTGTTTATTTTATTTTTTTTATTTTTGTTGTTGTTTTTTTGTTTTGTTTAAAAAAAAAAACAAGTAGAAGATCACTCCAGGGGGAATAAAATAGCAGCCTGGTTTCTCCAGAGGAGGAGAAGAGTGGGAACAAAATCTAATTGCCTAAGAAAGGCTCTTCAGGATAGAGACAGATAGATAAAGGGCTCCCTTGATCTCTGCAGAACTTGGCCTTTGCAAAGGACTTTCACCTCTGCGTTACCTAATTTATCCTTCTTATTTCCCAGTAGTTTTATGTCTATTTTACCCAAGATATTCTGTGACTTGCCCAATGTCACAGAAATTGTGTCCCAGACCTTCTAACCCCACTTTAGTGTTCTTTTCATCATAACCCACCACAAATTCCCAAAACATAGAGAAGAATCATCCAAAGACACAGATCAATATCAGTGCCCTAATTCTGCTATGACTTCAGCCTCAATGAACTTAAATTTAGACTTTTAGGGCAAGACTTCTCAACAAGAGGACCATAGGAAATGGTTCAGGTGAAGGTGGGGTGCTGCTCCCAGATCGCCCTCCACAGTGACTCACTCAGGAAGATGATAGTCTGCCTCCTGGCAGTCCGACTCTCCTCACTCTCTGACTTTCTCATCTGCAGCTGTTGCCCGGTCCCAGCCAGCGTGCCCTGCTTGCTCCTCTGGAGCACTTGCATCATGTTCCAGCACATGAAGGCCACGGAGACCAGGACCAAGAGATAGACGATGAAGGCACCAAAGATGCTGGACTGGAACACAGTCCAGCGGCTGGAGAGGTTGGTACAGATGGACATGTTGGAGGTATCGGGGTGCTCGTGGTGGCGGGTTCGAGAACGGTTGCAATTGAGACCCCGGTGACTGGGCACATTCACCAGAGGGTACTCAACACCCATGGCAAAAAGCAAGGGCAGTGCTACCAGGGCAGAGGTGACCCAGACAAAGGCAATCAGCAGTTTCACCTGGCAGGGCCCAGAAACAGCCTTATACCTGAAGGGATGACAGATGGCAACATAGCGCTCAAAGCTGAGCGTCAGCACATGTAGCAGCGTTGCATAGCTGCAAGTCTCAAAGAGGAAAGTGTGAAGCTTACAGGACAAGGAGTAGCTGGGTGTGGTCAGGGGGTTCCAGATGATGCTGTAAAACTCCATGGGCATGCCAATGAGGAAGACCAAGATGTCTGAGCAAGCCAAACTCACCATGTGGTCTGTCACTTCCTTCTGCAAGTAGCCCTTCTTCTGCAGTACCTGGGTAACCCGAATGGTGACGCTATTCCCCAGGATTCCTACCACAAAGATGATCAGGTACACCAGGAAGAGGGTGATTTTGATCCAAGTGGCCACCTCAAAAGCTGGGACATGGCTGTGATCAATGACCTTGGAGCAGTCATTGCTGGAGCTACTGGATGAAGCCATTAAGAAGAGAGTCACGCTGCCAGATTCAAAAACTTCTCCAACTTTCTTTTCTTCTCCCAGCAGAGCCCAGAGTTCTTTGGCTGCAACTCCCAAGTGGACGCAGGACTTTCTGTCACTTGAGTTCACTTGACCAAAAACATAACTCGGTATTTCGGCGCTTTCATGAAAGCTTCCTGGAGCAGCCCAACCTAGGAGAGGCTGGTGGAGCCTGGGGGTGGGGTTTTGAGATGAGTGTGCCCGAGTGAGGGGGAGGAGGAGGAGGAAGGAGTTTCTACTCTCCCAGTCCGGCTGAGACAGACACCGCAGCCCCTGGCGCTCCCGCCCTGACCCTCTTTGCAGTGGGCACTCACTTTGCTGCTGCCCTCCTGTCCCCCTCCAGCTTCCTGGCATTCGCCCTGACCCGCCCTCCAAGAGCACCCTTTCTGGGGTTGCCGGAGGCAGGAGGCGGGGAAGTCAGTGATCAAACATTAACCACGGTCAATCGTGCTCAGCGGCCCGGCTGCAGATCTAGCCCAGCCACCGGGTTTGACTCAACATACAGGCATCGTCTCCGGAAGACGATGGCCCCACCTCCGCTGTCACCCACGCGGCCACTGCTTAACCAGCACTTGGGGTCTGCCCCCTGATGTGCATTCCAGGGGAGGCGCAGCCCCAGGGAAGCTGGAGTGCGCTCACTGGGGACTTTGAGAAAGACAAACTTCCCCCTCGCCCGCCCCGCCCCGACTCCCACAGCAGTCCCCGTCTTGGCGGTGGCTTGCCCTGGACACCTGCCTTGGAGTCTGCTACCGGCCGGGCAGCCCTGGAGGAGCCAGCAAGCGCTCGCTCCTTGGTGCCCTGCCTTTGGGGCACTTAGGGTGTTTGCAGTGAATGGCTGGAGTGTGACCTGCCTGGAGCAGAATTGGTCCTGCGGTCCCTTCCCGCTGAGGGATCCGAACCCCAAAAGGCGTGGGCGCGGGGTCCCTCCTTTCGGTTTCACTCCACCACACAGACTGCTCTCTCCACAGCTGCTGCAAATCTTTAATTGGGAACATGCATATGGATGAGGATGGCACAATCCACTGGGATGCTCTGAGTGGAGGGATTTATGCCCAAAACATCAGGAACAGCAGGAGCAAGCTAATGTGGGAATGTCGGGACAGGGCCACTGCCATAGAAAAACTACATTGAGGGTCATGACATTTTTCCTCTTTGGAGAAAGGAAAATCTCTAATGTTTTCACCTATTAATTCTAAAATCAGAGGATTGGGAGGTGGGGAAGAGGAGAGGGAGACAATCCTACGCATTGTAGGACAGATACTTAACTACCTAGGGCCAAAACTTCTCCAGACTTCGCTGAAAGGGGGGGCGGGGCTCTAAGTCATGAACCACCAGCTTGAAAACAGTAAACTAATCCCCTTTCCAACACAGGCCCTGTGCTGAAACATCGTTATATTATCACAGTGGCTACCCTGGTCCTATCATTTTAAAGAGGAGGGACCTGGGGTACCTAAAGGGTAGCTAGGTGCTTTCCCAAGATCATAAAAGAGGGTGTGAGAGCAAGATTTCACTTCTATGCAGAATCTTGAAAGAAGGACGGAAGGGTTAGGGTTAGGGTTAGGGTTAGTCAAACACAGAGGAGCAAAGAGCAGAAGAGTGGTTGGTTACCAGAGGCAGGAAGGGGAAGAAAACAGGAACCCACAGGTCAAGGGTGCAAAGTTACAAAGTAAAAGAATAAATCCAGCAATCTAATGAACAACTGGAGGATAATAGTTAATAACATTGTAATGTACATTGAAATTTCGCTAAGAGAATAGATTTTAGCCCCCACACACATACCCTGTCATTCTGGAAGATGGCAGATTGAATTTGCTTGACTACAGTAATCATTTCACTCTGTGCGTGCGTGCGTGCGCGTGCGCGCGCGCGCACACACACGCATAAAAATCCTATGTAGCACATCTTAAAAATAATCAGTTTTTTTAAAAAATGAGAGAAAGATTTGAAATTAACCTGGATCTGACCCTTGAACCCACTTCTTAACTCCTCACAGAAGGGAACCCTATAAGTATAGCAGATGCTCGGGAAATGTATCCTGAATGACACACACAGAAATAGGAAGTCTGTTTTCTGAACCTGGACCCACAGTTCATGACCTTGGGGATTACTTGTCCTAGGGAGGGAAGGCTATATGGCCACCAGATCTCTATAATTAGCTTCTTATGTGGCCACAGTGTTTTCTGTCTCTCTATATACTTGTTCTCTCTGTTAAATTACAAGTTCCAAAGCCAAGGAATGTATCTTCTTCCTCTCTCACAGCTCTCCATAGCACCCTAAATAATAGGTTTTGCTAGAGGCCTCGCCATCCCCCATGTGTGCTATTTGACCTCCTTTCTAGCAAAGAAACTCCTAACTCATTTCCTTATTGGTACATGTTTTTAGCTAAAAGATCTCAATGACATTCTACCTGTCCTTAAAAACTCATAGGATAACATGATGGGGGTAGATGGGACCCTTGGGACTTTCCTAACTCCAGACTAGAATCCTGAGTGGGCTCCTCTGCAAAAGCCTCTGGTTGCTTGATGCTCCAGAGAAACTGAGAAGAAGGTGATCTAGGTCAGACCTAAAAACTTCCCTACCCTCAACACACACACACACACACACACACACACACTTGTGCGCACACATCCCACATCCCTGCTTCTAACCACCTCTTTCTTCTCAAAACTATAAACAAGTTAGGGCTCTTTCAAGTATCCCCCGGCCCAGCCATAGATCTGTCCTTTCAAATTCTCCTTAGTCTTTTTCTGAGCCCCTATTATGCATCAAGCACATTCATATAATTCATTTCTTTCCATCCTTACAATGCTGCAAGGTGTATATTATTGCCCCCATTTTGTAGATGAGGAAATTCAGAGGTGGGGGGTTAAATGACCTGCCAGAAAGGTGCAGAGGCAGGATTCAAACTCGTGCCTATCTGGCACACCATGGTGCGATCTCTCTGTGCACGACAAGACTGTGCCAGGTGGAAGAACATCATTTTGGGGAAAGACAGTGTTTTCTGTCACCAGGCCTGATGCTGTTCGTTTCCCCAACTGCAGTAAGTCCATCATCCTGTAATATATTTGATAATCCCAATTTGTTCAGCTCAGACAAGATTCCCATTATTGTCCAATTCTTTTCATCATTTTTTTTTCCTCCCAAACGGTGAACACAGATTACAAATTCATGGCCAAATGGTGAGAATCAAGCTAATTAACATTCGTCCCTTATAACAGAGATGGAAAAATACATTTTGAACAAAGGCCCAGGAGAATTAAATTTTCATTTCACCTTTGCTTTTCCCAAGACCAATTAAAAACTGTTTAATGTGCTCTTATTGTTGATAAGACTGGCATGGCACCTGGCCTGGGTCTGTGTAATCTAGATTTTTTTTTATTAGTTTATTGCATAGAGAGAAAAAGTAATCAAAATGAGAAGTGAGTATACTTTAGTTACCTTTTCATCTCAATTCAACTCAAGGTCACTCTATTCTTGGGCCTACACAAATCTATATTCATATTCTACACATTCTAGATGACCTTTGGGGTCACATAGCCTAGTAGCTTTCATGAGTTTTTTTAAAATACTGAATCTCATTTTTAAAATATAATCTTATATTGGTACCCAAAGAAAATACACACACACACACACACACACACAGGCACACGTATTTATATATAAATATATTGGTTTTTTTTTATTTAAATGTATTTTGTATGCTCAAATTGATAACATTAACTCATCTGAAATTAACTAACAATTTATACTCTGATTGATACCTTTATTTACAAAGATTCGTGGTAAAAATCATAAGGACCATATTTTAAGCTGCAAAGAAATTGTCACACATTTTCAAAGATTATAAACAGTGCAGATACCTTATTTATAACGCAACACGACTAAAAATTAACATCAAATCCATAAGGCTGAAACATAAAATTCTACCATGTCCAAAAAAGAATTTTAAATCTGTAGAACAATTCTCAGTCGAAGAGAAAACCAAAATCAAAATTACAGATTATCTAGAGAAATAACACAAAAATAACACATATCCAAACCTATGGAAATAGCTACAGGAACCCCTGAGGGGAAAATTCACAGTCTTAAATGTTTCTAATAGACAAGGAAGAATAAAAATAAATGAAGTCATAAAAGGATTAAAATTAAGGAAGACAACAAGAAGGGATTAACAAAGATGAAAGTAATTATGAAGAAACGAGATAGTAGAACTAGTAAATAAACTCCAAAGTCCCACTTTCTTTTCTAAATTAGAACTTTTTAAGTCCTACTTTTTAAAAGTGGGACTTACCTTTTTTCCTTAGGTGCCATCAAGATCAGTTCCAGGTGATCAGCCTGCACTTCGCTCACCCTCATCAGAGGAGACAAGTGTTATGGTTCGTATCTTAAATGTTCCCCAAAGGCCTGTGTGTTCAAATCTAGGTCCCCAGCCTGTGGTGCTATTTGGAGGTGGGGAGCCTTTAGGAGGTACAGCCTCGTGGAAGAAAGCTAGGTCACTGGAGACATATACCCTTCAAGGGGATACTGGGACCCGGGCCTTTCCTCTCTGTTTTCCTGGGCACCGTGAGGTGAGCAGTCTTCTCTGTCATGTGCTCCCACCATGACATACTGTGCTATTGATGCAAGATGGAAAAGCAGAAAAGAGACAAAGGGATGAACAAGAAAGCTAATAACTTTTATGTGAAAGTCTTATGCCAGTGTTCCTCATACCTTCAGTCCCCAAGCCCGTTCTCTCTCCCAGACCTGTCACTCTCAAATTTCTGGAAAGTCTACACATCTTCATTTAAAGTTACTATAAATTCACCCACTTATGAAAATTGCCCTGTTTCACTATGAATTAACCCACTAATAGATGTATTTTTAGGATAGACTGAGCAAAGGGAGATATGAAACCTGTAACCTAGGGTACTTTCCAATGTTATCTATTGATCAGAGGACGGAGAAGACATCAACCTAAGGATCCTGAGAACTGTCAGAACGACATAAGCCATCTTGTGATCATCAAACGGCTGTCATGCCTACCCACTTTCCCATGCATACCCCCAAGTTTCCCTTGAATTACCCAAGACCCCAAAAGCATGTCTCACTCTCAAGACAGTCCACATTCTCCCTTG